TATCTAAAGCCCGCGGCAGGCAGATGCTGCGAAGCAGAGAGAGAGAGTCCAGGATATTGGATAGCTATTCTGAATAATATTCTCACAGATTCGACTAGTCTGGCCTAAAAGCTTTAAGTTCAGCAGCAGCGGCAGAAGTACTAGCAGCAACCCAAGGGCCCGAATACAACAGCCTCACCCCCGGCCCTCTCCACTCTGCCCATGGCCTGCATCAGCATTTCGTTGGCATCAGGTGTCAGTAGTCATCGGCTTTAACCACTACATATGCAAGCTAGGGAGCAAAAAGATGCAGCAATAGCAGCGCTTGGCCGAATATCCCCAATGTCCAACTTGTAAGTGTGTCCTCTTGACGTCGAGGCCCCAACACAAGCAATCTGTAAAAAACAAAAGTTCCCGCATAAATACTTGACGCCTCATATAGTACGTCTCAATGCTTCTCAGAAGCCAATTGGCGAAACGGCGAAATGAAGAGTGGACGAGATCTAAAACTGATATTAAACAGGCAACAAAATGCGCATATAGTACTAGCCTTTGATGCCTGAACCGTTGATTCCAAGTATATTGGCTTCCACACAAGTTCCGGCCAGGCATGGAGAAGATAGAAATCTTGGCTGGCCGTGGATTCCTGACTCGGGCCTTATCCATACCCCCAATATGCTCGCACCTCCTTAATAATTTAGCCGTGTCCGGATGTCTTGGTCCCCTTGTTCCCGGTCCCACCTCCACGCATTTGAAACGTCAACACATCGGCAACGAGCGGCTCATGGCTCCGGCGGAGAACAAGTTTTTACAGGGGATAGATTAAGATGCTCGGTTGTATCAGAGTGGCTATCAGGTTGGATTGCTGAGCCATGGAGCCAAGGGGTCCCAACATGGCGGTCCTTGGCCACGTTGCCCGATCCGACTTATAGGTATGCACATCCTGATGCTCCCGGTGGCCGTTTATGGGTTTATTACCAGACGCTGCTACGAGATGCATCAACATTTATTTGATAAGGCTTTGAAGACTGTTAACTGTATACATACTTGGCTGACATAAAGTATTTGCAAGTATAAGACAGACAACGTTCTACTAGAAATTTATAAAACTTATATTCCTCTACACAAATAGTATAGGGCAAATGTACTTTATCTGGTATAGAATATTATTTAGTTTGTCACGGTTCACTGATTAGGTATAACCAGACACACGGTGTCAATTCCATGACTGTCACGAATGCAAGCCATGGATTGCATTGAACAGCGGACGAGTCCTTGGATTTATCTATCCAGCGAGGGAAATAAGGCCCTTTCTATAGATTCCTAGAAAGTTATCGATTGAGGGGTTTGGCTTTGTTCAATATCCGAAAGCGTTTTACGAGGCCTTTTCCGTTTTTGTTTTCGTTTCCGTCGACACACCCCCGCAGCTTGGATCGAAGCTGGCTATTAGAGCTGTTGATACATATCGAGACAAGTTGCATTTTAGTCGTTTTGGTCTCTTTCAATGATGCTGATAATGGTGTGTCAACGCTCAAGGCTCCTTTCAATGGAAAAAGGTTGCTATTCGTGGGTATCACCACAAAGCCCTAAAAAGCCTCAAAATGCTCGCTCCACAACCCCATTAAAGTCAGACCTTCAAGAGCAAAATCCCTCAATTGATGACCTAGGTGACCTGTTAAATGACCTTTGATATCTATAATAAGGGCCTGTTTTCCCTCCCTAGATGCCTTCTCCAAGGACTCGTCTACTATTCGATTCAATCCATAGCTATCAACGTGATAGTTGACTAGCCCTAGCTGCTTGATAAAGCAGTTAACCGTTGGCCCGCCAGGACCTTTGCCAATGCATGAGCTAGATTATCAGCGCTTTGGACGAATTTAATATTGAAGCTTCCTCTTTGATAGGCCTCTTGAATTCAACTCTTATTGATATCGACATGACGAAGAGCAGCGGTTTTTAGTCTTGGAAGGCTGCTACTAATAAGTCAACCCTAACCCTGACCGCAGCTGAAGGTTTAGGTCTAAAAAAAGCCTACAAGTCGCGATAGTCTCTTTAGCTATATACGTAAAAGCTAGTAATTCGGCTTTTAAAAACAATATTATTACTGTATGTATTCTTTTTACTAGCTGTCTAGCTGATAGGCCCGTTGAACAGTCGAATTATCGAGCCGTTGCAGAGAAACAACGGACCCGAAAGTTGCTACAAGGCCCCGATAATTCGACTATTCAACGGGCTTATCAGCTTGATAGTAATTAAGCAAGATACAATAATAATATCATCTACGGAAGCCAAATTACTGGCTTTTACGCACACAGCTAAAGAGACTATCGCGACTTGTAGCCTTTTTCAACATCTAAACCTTTGGCTAAGTCAGAAAAAAACCCACTATTTAATGTGATAACCTTCAGAAGATTCGACTTATCAATAGCAGCCTTCCAGGTCAAAAACTGCGGCTTACTAAAGAGGAAGCTTTAGTATCGAATTCGTCTAAAGCGCTGACAATCTGGTCGATAGATTGACAAAGGCCCTGACAATTTTATTCGGCCATACCTAATATAGCACTTGCACGAATATCGAGATTGGATGAAAAACAGATAAACTTGACACTGTGCATAAAATACCTTTCGTAGTTGTTATGTATCGCATTTCGAATCCCTCTGAATATGCGCAGGTCCAATTTTTGTAACGGGCCAGGGTTCTAGCTAATAATAAGTAATTAAGATTTTAAAAATACTTAAGTATATAAAAATATACTAGTTTATTATACTTAATAATATAATATTTTTAAGTATCTTTAAGTATTATTAAAAAAGTAGGTTAAATACATTAATTGGACCTGCACACATTCAAAGGGATACACGCTACGTGGGTTAACAGCGGAGCTAGCAGTTTCAAATATAGTCTGGTATGTTTTGAGGCCACCTGGGTGATATTTGCCTTTGCATGCGTCAATCTTATCTATGTATCTATTAATTATATCCTTGATAGTAGTTACTGTATATTTCTTTTTCACATGTTCACTGTAAGAGCTGCAGATTGTTATAGACGTTCCCAACGGCGACTGCTTGAGCGCGGTTTTATGGCTAAGCTGTATAAGGTAGAATAACGGCGTCCTTCCCCAACAGGAGCTGATCCACCTACGACAGGCGAAAAACGCCTGAACATCTTCCGTAGTATAGTGGTCAGTATGCAAGCTTGTCACGCTTGAGACCCGGGTTCAATTCCCGGCGGGAGAGATTTTTTTAGCGTTTACAATTTTTTTTTTCTTTCCCTCTTTTCTTACTCTCTTTTTTTCGGTATTATTATGCTCTGGCTAAGCGCTTGTGTCTACAGTGACTCTGTGAGCTTGGTAGTAGACTAGACTTTGCATTAATCTCATGTGGCCTTATTCCACCCCACGCACAGCGAAACTAGGCACGTCGGCTATCTTACCAGACACTTCCCAACTATTACAGCGAAGGCTTCTCAAATCTTTAACGGCCCAAGCATTTGATGTCACCACATGACCAGCCTAAGTTTTGAAAGAATATGTAACATTGAACTAGAGGTCTTTACCCTACTATATTTCCCTTGCCCGTAGCACAAATCAAGCGTTGCAAGTGGGCACCAAAAAACCACCCGAGCATCGAGCTACCCGGTATCCCACCCAGTGTCCACGGCGCACCAAAGTTCACGCTTCACTCAAACATGACGCCAACCACCACGCGGCCACACTCACCAAGCCGCCTCACGCAACTCATCATGCTTCCCCGTCCCCTCATCAAACGATGGAACCATCAAGCCCCGACGCGGCCTCCTTCACCCTCCGCCCCATCATCCAGGACCTAGTGCGCACGCGCTTCGCCATCCCCGGATCCATCTTCCTCGTCGAGGACATACAAACCATCGCCCTCACAGAGTCTCGCCGCTGGCAAGTCATCCGCCTGCTGCTCGGCGATGGCGAGCTCTGCATCCAGGCCCTCCTGGCCGACGCCATGCACCGCTTCGTGCACACGCGCGACATCACCGTCGGCAGCTACGTCTGCGTGCAGGACTTCCAGCTCCGCCAGAGGACCACGGCCGCGGACGCCGGCGAGCCGCAGCAGCAAATGGTGTACCTGGTCGTCTACGACGTCAAGACGCTCGGGTGCAACGACGACGTGCGCAGGATGCACGACGAGCAGCAGCTGGCCGACGAGGCAGCGTCGCCCGCGGGCTCGGGAGCCAGCACGCCCACAAAGCCGGAGCCGCCCTCCGCCGCGGCCGGCCAAGCACCCGGCGACGGCGACGAGTTTGAAGACGACGATGACGACGACATGGAGGGCGCCTTTGACGAGTTTGAGGCTCTTGCGTTCCCGGCCAAGGCGCCGGCGCCGGCCCAGCCCAGCAAACCGGCCTTGCCTGTCGCGCTGCCGCGGGACTGGCACGACGTCCAGACCCCCCTCAAGCTCACGACGCTGCGCGCGATACCAAACCTGCCCTACCGCCAGAACTGGTCGTGCAACGTCCTCGCCATCGTGGCGTCCCTGTCGGCCGTCGAGTCTTGCCATTTGCCGCCGTACAGGCAGCGCACGGCGCGCATCACGGACCCCTCGACGGCCAAGCAGGTCCACCTGGCGGTGTTTTTGGACCCCGACGAATTCACGCCCCGGGTCGGGAGCGCCGTGCTGCTGACGGGCGTCAAGAACCACCGCTTCGACGGGGGCAGCTTGAAGAAGTATGCGAGCGACAGGGGCCGGGGCAGGTGGTGGTTTCAGGACCCGTGGGAGCTGGCGTGGTGCGATGTTCGGGGCATCAAGGATTGGTGGGCCGAGATGGAGGCGTATTTCGCGAGTCAATTGTCCGAGGAGGCTGTGGGCGGTGATGTGTGACTCGGGGAGTCTTGCTTCACGGGCTTACGGAGTACTGCACAGGCAACAACATTATGGATAGACAGACAAGACAGCCTTGGAGATGAACAGGCTTGTTGTGCGTTGGATTGGGTATATACATTTTACGACACATGTGCCGCGGCCTAGATGTGCAGGGCCACATGTCTGCCATCATCTTCTTCTTGTTCTACTTGACACCGGGGGAGCGGGCTCGAACGCATCATCGTCGGATATCTCATCATCGCTAATTTCAAAAGCCTTCTGACTCGCGCCCCCGCTCTTTTGTGAAAAGTCTAGCTTTGTTTGCCTGGACTTGACGGCACCCCGCGTCGTAGTCTTCTTCGCCGTTGTCGATGCCGCTGTTCTGGTTGCTGTTGCTCTTTTCCCCCTCGTGCTGGATTTCGGTGGTGGTGCAGGCTCCTCTTCTGATTCCATGACAACATCTTCTTCCTCTTCCTCGCTTTGTTCGACGTTCTTACGACCGCGTCCCCGTGCCGGAGCTTTCTTTGCCGAGGCCTTCTTCTCGGCGGCTTTTGTGGTAGCTGCTTTCGTTCCTCTGCCTGTTCGTCTGGTAGGCCGTGGTGCTGGTTCATCGTCGGACATTTCTTCGCCGTGAGCTTCCGCCCTGCTTCTACCGGTCCGCCCAGGCCCTTGTGTCGTGGTAAGACTCAAGTCGTGGCTAGAACCTTCGTATGTCCATGCATCAGGCTCGTCCTCCCAGTTACCGTCGAAATCACTATCCCAAGTGTCGGGTTTTGGTTTCAATACCCGTTTTCTATCAGTACTAAACATTCCTTTGCCGGGGCCGCTGGTCATTTGCTGCTCAACTCTGGTTCTATAAATGTCCATGGCACTGTCGAGATCCTCATCATCGGATTCAAGCCCGAGGAGCTGCTTCACTTGGCCCGTCAAGTGTTCCGAGACAAACAGCTCCATGGCATGTTTGTCGTCCTTTGAAACGAACTGATTTACCGCGTCTCCAAAGGGGCCTTGCGGCAAGACTTTAAGAGACTGGGCAGATAAGAAGTCTTGTACCAGCGACTCTACCTTGACGGCGTCGGCACCGTCGGCGAGGGCCTCGAGAACATTTTCGGGAAGCGTGGCTGTAGCTTTGCCTGCCAAGTGCGTTAGCCCTGCTCCGAGCCAAAATAGCCAACGAGATTCAGTACTTACGCTGTGAAGTCTTTTTGCGGTAAAAGTAGACGACATCGTTTGTATTGGCAACTTTGCCAACAAATCGGTTAGAAAATCGCTGTGGGTTCTCACACTCAAACAGACCCCCATCCGAGGCCGTGTACTCGACCTTGAGCCGAATCAGAGGCAGCGGTCGCTCTTCTAGCGCCTCTTCATCTGTCTGGATGGCTTCCCAATCTGCATTTGCTTCGTCAATCATCTCATCCACAACTTCCATTAGCCGCCTGGTCACTTCTTGTCTGTTGTCCTTCTTCTTGTCTAAGCCCTTGAATCGCTTATCCTGAGCCAGAACGAGTTCTCTAGTCACGAAAGGGCGCACCGACTTTAATGGGATTTTGTCAACTTTGAAATCCTTGCCTGTTACGCTCAAAATGGCCACGTGCTTTTGCACCGCCTCACCTGGCACAAGTGACGTGGCTACCGACGAGCCAGGCTGCATGACGTGAAATCCTGTCTCGGGGTTCTGTGTAGGATCAATGAGACATTCGTGTTCGTGTCCCCAAACCACCAAATCAAGCCAGTCCGGTAGTACGTTCTCGGGGAGATATGATGTCGCGGTGTGTGCATGATGATTCTGGTGGACAGCGAGCATATTGAACCAATCGCCCATTTGCACATTTGGCCTGAACCACTTGACTTTATGGTCTCGAAAAGTCCGAAACATTCGTTCGTCTCGGACATTACTTAAACCGAACAGGGCGAGTTTTGTAATGCCTTTTTGGAGGAGAATTGGCTTGGCCTCAATATTATCGGCCTCGGCTACTCGTCCAAAATAATTCAGCAGGCCGGCAGCTTGTAACAAGTCGAGCGAACAGTAATTGCCGTCTCCCGAGGGATCATCGTGGTTACCATGAATAGAAAATACAGGTATCGAAATATTAATATCGGGGTCTTCGTAATTGACATGGGGAAATGCGCCTTCGAAGACGGTGGCAGCGTCGGAGAGGAACTCGAGAGGGCACGGCTTCATGCCGAGGCAGTTTTGTCGCAGCGTACGCATGACCTGGTAGAGGGACTTTCGTGAGGGTTTATTTTCATGGAAGAGATCGCCAGCAAGTAAGACCATGTCAACCTGCCGGACATGTTAGCTTGAGGGGCGGAGCATGGTGAGCTGGCAATGGCAATGATATCCTGCTGACATCTTCAGTTCGAGCAATATTCAGGATTTCGTCAAAAGTTCGCCAGCTGTCATCTTTGCGAATGGCGTCGCGCTCTTCGTAGCCGACATGGTTGTCTGTTGCGACGAGGATTCTGATGGTATCGGCCTCTGAGCATTTGTTAGCAAACGAGGTGGACGGTTTCGTGGCCAATTTTGGTTACCCGTGAACTCGGTCATGATGCTGGCCGTTTATTGGATTGAGAAATTATGCCGGATGACCCAAATTATGGCGAATAATAATCGTAACTGCCTGGGTTGGTCATTCGTTCGACGGTGAGTGGCGTGAAAATGTGCACAATTGTCAGACCAAGACGTGAGCCGAACATTTCAATGCCGCGGGGAAGCCTGTCTCGAATCTCGATTTCACCGGTTGGAGACGCGCCGCGGGAGACGCGAAATGGTGCGAGATCACGTGCAAAAGTGACACCGGGCAAACGGGCATCATTCTTTTCCTGCACGAGTAGCTCAGGAATGAACTGCATTTTGTCACGCGGGCGCTGGACGTTAACACGGCATGCCATTTTATCCAACCAGACCTACCACTTCGATTAGCCTCGCTGGACATGGGCAATGGCCACCGCACCATCCCACTGACTGGCGATGTAATCCAGGCACTCGGCAGGGGTCATGACGGCTGAGATCTTCATTAGCTAATCGGCCATCAGGTTACTGCGCAAACGTGGCATTTACAAATCGTCGAGTTGATAATAGACAAGAATAAAAACGCCTCAGAGTCGACGACGAGTGATCTCTGATAACACTGGGCACACGCCGCAGAGGAGACGACGCCTTGGCTACTCGAGTAAATCGGCGCACTCATTCGGTGTTCCTTGCACGCGGTACTCGGTACACAAGCACCAATCCGCCATGGCAGACGACTACATCTACCCGACCCATTTCATGGACAATAGCCGGGGCCTTAAAAATCTCATAATGGCCTGGACCCTGCGTTTCAATGACGTCCTTGACGGCGACCAGCTTAGCGCTGCTCTATGGCGCCTGTTCGAGATTGGCGACTGGAGAAAGCTGGGTGGGAGGTTGCGAGTTGGAAAAGGGGGCAAGCTGGAGATGCACGTACCCAGAACCTTTACAAAGGAGCGCCCGCCGGTGGCATACACAAAGGAGACCTTTGACGTGGCCATAGGTGAACACTCTCTTGCCAAGGACCTCCCGTCACCAACTGAGAAGCCATCACTGCAACGGCCTGCCTCGGATTTTCGCTCCCTTTCAGTCCGGCCCGATGCACCATCGACAATCGGACAACTTGTCACCCGGGATGTCCCCCAGGTGTCTCTGCATGTCGTGACATTCACCGACGCGACCCTGGTCTCAATTTCCTGGCCGCATACTCTGATGGACGGGATGAGCCTCCAGGGACTTTTGAAGGCCTGGTCCTTGGTTCTTACCGGCAAAGAGGACCAAGTTCCGGCTTTGCTTGGTGCCAAAGACGATGTCCTTTATGCCGCTGCTCAAGATGCTGCGCCCGGCGATGAATGGCTGCTGAGACGGACAATGCTCACCGGGTTCAAATTCTTCCTCTTTGTTGTGCTCTTCTTGTGGGGTGTGCTTACGGAACGCACCATAGAGTCCCGAACGATTTGTTTGCCCAAGGCGGCCATGGCCAAGCTTCGTCGGCAAGCACTGGATGAAGCTGCGGTGTCGGGATCAGGACAGGAGAAGGCTCCCTGGGTCAGTGAAGGTGATGTCATCATGGCATGGGCCGTCAGAATGGTTGCCCTAGCCCAGCCATCGCCACGACCCATCAATGCGCTAGGTGCCTTGGACCTGCGACCGCGTATTCCCGAGCTCGCAGAGTCGGACGGAGTGTACATCCAAAACGTGGTGATTGGGTCAAGTGTTCAGCTCTCGAAAGACGATGCGCGACAACCTCTTGGGGTCATTGCATCGAGATGTAGAGAGGCTCTAATAACGCAAGCCACAGCATCACAACTTCGAACCTTTTTGTTTGCACTCTGCAAGATACTGGATGCCGGCGGGGATCCTACTCTTCTGCCCGGTGTATGGAACGGAGAGCTGTTTACGATTTCGAATTGGACAAAGGCCGATTTTGTGAAGCTGGTAGACTTTTCGCCGGCTGTGGTCAAGACTGGGCAAGCCGAGGAGCAAAGAATCAATCCACCGGGTACCATGATTTACCACCAGTCCTTTGTATTGGGACACGACGCGACCTTGCGAAATGTCATGGCGGTGTTGGGCAAGGATCATTCAGAGAACTATTGGATGATGGGGTACTTTCCACCAAGGACGTGGGCTGTGATTGAGAAGGAGATGCAGAAAATGGGCGAGACTTGACGACGTAGTGATGCAGAAAATTGTCACGGGTCATGCGTATTTCAGGTGAATCAAAGTCCGGTAGCTCAAGGCCACTCCGAGACCAAATGTCGCTAGCAACGCTCTCTTGAGGACATGGCCCGCCTTATATAACTAGACGTACATCTAACACAAATACACTCGGACAACGTGCAGTACATGGCCATGCACAAATTTCCTTTCCTCGCCATGGGCTGCATCTCTGTCGTCCAGGTCCCCAGAGAGGCTGGCTTAAAGCTTACTGTCGGCCGTGTGCTTCGGTGGCTGACGCGTCTGGACGGACAGCTCGTCCCACCAGGGATACCCGCGCGGCGCGTCCTTCCAGATATCCGCCGAAAACGAGGGCTTCTTCTTGGCAAAGAAGGCCTTCTTGAAGTCCTGGTGATCACTACAGACAGCAGAGTCAGTCAACAATGGCCATGAACTTCTTGGCGTGAGGCATAAACCCACTTTCCACTAAACATGTCGTACAGCAGCGGGCTGTCGACAAGATGGGCGCGCTCAGCCGAGCCCGGGTTTCTCCAGATGAGCTGGCGATTCAGGTACACAGCCATGGTGCTCACGTTGGAGACAATGTCCTCTGCCAGCTCGACGGCCCGTGGCAGGACGTCCTTTGGCTCCGGGACCAGCTCGGCAAAGATGCCGTTGAGGACGGGCGCGTCGGCGGGATACCGCTTCCCCGTCGCCAGGAGATATGTCGCGTTGCTGTAGCCCACCATTCGCGGCAGGAAGAAGGAGCTGCACGACTCCATGGTGAGGCCGATACGGGCAAAGGGGAACCCGAACTCGGCGGTCCGGGGAGCAATGCTGCAATTCAAAAAGGTCAGAAGAAGATCTCGTCTTTGTATCTTCTGCGCGTCTGTGCTTTCATCCCAATGGAGTCTGGAGTCGGGACTACGTACCGAATCGTCGCGGCCAGGGTGGATGTCATGCCGATGCCGACGGACAGTCCGTTGTAGGCCACGATGATGGGCTTGCTGCAATTGAACATGGCCAGAGCTAGCGTGCCGCCGGGATCTCGCATCTCGCTGGGCGGCGCGGCGTTTTTCAAGTTGCTCGTGTCCATGGTGAGATCGATGCCGGCGGAGAAGGCCTTGCCGGCGCCGGTGAGAATGACGGCCCTGACGCGATGGTCTGCATGGACGGTTTTGAAAAGAGTGATCAAGGCGTAAATCATGTCCGACGAGATGGCGTTTAGCTTTTGCGGCCGATTCAGCGTTGCCACCAGGATGGGAGTCACGCCGCTGCTGGTGGCAGGGTGGTTGGTGATGCGGACATGGCTGTCTGCTGGGGTGACGTAGCTCTGGGGAAGCTGAATCGCGTCCACTTGAGACATTGTTGGATGTGATGGGGTTCGGTCAAGGTGTCAAATTGTAGTCTTGGGGAGTGCAGGTCGAATCTCGCCGTAGCCATCGATATGGCGTACTATATACCCCGTTGGGCGCGGCATTGGACGGCAATGACAACCGACAGATCTGGCGCGGACATGTTGATATCATCAATCGATGCATTGGTGTAACACCATGCACTGCATACTAGTACAAGAGTGAAAACAGACGAAACCTGGGGCATTCCGGGGGCGGGGTATGGCGGCCAGGTCACTCTAGTTGTTTTCCGTGTTGCGGACTGCCTCTTGTTTATGAGTTCGGCAAGGATCGATAATCACTCCGCCCGGCCGAGGTTCCGCTCGGGGCCTTTAGCCAAGCTCCGTTCTCCGCACCACTTCTGGTGGATCTTTTCTTGCCGATCCGCGTCTGATGACTCTGATCTCCCGTCGGCGGTTGCCAACGAACCAATTGTGGAGGGGTCTGGTATTGTGCCCAACGGCCTTGACAGCAGCAAAGACAAAGTTCAAATTTGGTCAACTAGAAGTAAACCACGCTGGCGAACCTTGGGGCATCGGTTCCCGTTGCACTCTCGAGACGCGGCGACACCGCCGTGGATGCAAGTGTCAAGTTTCCAACTTTGCACACCTGTTCTTAAATGACCGTATAAATAAACTCTATAAACTCTATAGAAATATATACACAAAGTAACCGTACGCACCGGCATGAATGCAAAAGTGACCCTTTGCGCAAGACAAATCCAAGTACACCCGGGGCTTCAACCACCACACCCCCAGATGCATTCACCAAGGAGAGAATGCCCTTGAACCCGTGCCCTTTGTAGACGCATTCTTGGTAATGTTCCAGTGCCCCGCGACGTGATCGACAAACGACTCGTTGCCAAACAAATCGCCCACCACACGAACCAAGTCGCCGTCGCTGCCGTGGCCCACGAGCCCGCCGACCAGCACGCTCAACAGCTTGGTAATCGACAACGAAGCCGTGAGCTTGCGGCCCTTGAGAATATCCTCGACGTACGTGACGCGCTGGCCGTTCATAAAGGTGGCATTGCCCGTGACATTGACCTCGATCAGCCCCCTGCTCAAAGAGGCGGCCTGGCTATTGAGGACGGGCCCCAGGTTCTGAATGACGTGGTCGATGTCGACGGTGCCGTTGAGATACACGGTATTATTGCCCGGGGCCAGAAACACGTCGTACAGGGTCACGAGCCCGATGCGCACGTCGCCCGTATACACGTTGAGAGAGACGTTGCCGACGTTGATGTGGAGGGATCCCCAGTTGGGCACCGTGGCCGAGCCCACCACGTTTCGGCCGTCCTTGTCCGGCGGCAGCATCAGCGCGACGTCCTTGAGGCCGAAGCCCTGCAGGCCCTTGAGCCCGGGGACCGTGACGCTCCTGTCGACCCGGGGCGTGGCGCTCAGCGCGCCAAAGTGCACCTTGGGGTCGCCGCGGATCCATATCTGCCTCTCGTCTTGATCGACGAGGCCGTTGGCCCATGAG